ACATTGAATCTAGTCTTGCCAAGTTGACGACGCCCCTCCTTCTCTCAGGTGCAGCAATAAGGTCAGCAAGGTCAAGTTAGTATTCATGTGCAAATCGTCTGTTGAAGATAGAATTTGAACCAGGTACTGTGCCATGTCCCGGAGTCTGCCACAGAAGAAGACGTGGTCCCTGGCCCTCCTCAGGCCTTCTAGTCTAGTGGGGCAGACAGACAGAACCCAGTGAAGTATGTCCCCCCAGTATGGCACACTGGGGGCTGGAGAGTTCAGAGCCCCAACACAGGGCAGAGCTCGAGCACCTGAATGTGGGTGGGAGGTGGAAAAGGCGTCGGAGGGGACCCTGCTTGCTGGAGATCACAACTCACCTAAACAGTAAGTGACAAACTCAGCACTTACAGTGATTTACCTTCATGCGAGGGGATTGGGCAGCCTTCCTGGAGAAGGTGGCATTTGGAAACCCAACTCTGAGGGCCTGGTGAAGTGGGGACCACCATGGGAGAAGGATGCTCTGGACAGAGTGGATGGCAAGCAAAGACCCATGCCATCCAGGCTGTGCCGACTCACAGTGACCCTAAAGGGCAGGGTAGAACCCCCTTTCTGAGTTTCCAAGATGGGAACTCTTTACAGGAGCCTAAAGCCCCGCCTTTCTCCCAAAAGGCAGCTGGTGATTTTGAACTGTCCACCCAGCGTCTCACCACAACGCCTTCAGGGCTACTAAGCAAAGACTAGGGGGCAGGAAAGAATGGCAGGTGTGCAGAGAGGATTAAAACAGAATGACTAGCATTGAATCAATCCTGACTCGTCAGGGCCCTAAGGGACGGAGTAGAACCAGCCCCCGAGTTTCTGAGGCGGTACATCCTCCAGCGTGCCGATCCATGCAGTCCACTGCACACCTTGCAATTAAGGGTCAGCGCAGAACCTACTACTCCGAGTGCTCCACGGTGGAGAGGACCCAGCAGGTTCATTAGACTGGGACGGAGTCCCGCTAAGAGGAGGGAATCAGCAGGAGGTGGAGTCAGAGAAGTGCCTCGCTTAGCCCCCATCCCTCCTTCCATATGCCCCTCTGTAGACAGTGTGGAAGCAGAATCTCAGATTACAGCCATCTGAATCGTCCGTTCTGGAGAGCTGCTTCCAACATCTACTTCACTCAGCTTCATAGACGTCTTGAAAGGTGGTAGAGTTTGAGAGAGCAGCCTCTCACCCACCTCGATCCCATCCCTAAACAACCGAGTCAGCAGCAGAGCTTCACTGCAGACACTGCCCCAGTCCACTGAGGGCCCCCCCTGCTCTCCACGGCCCTCCCTCTTCATTCATTCTTTTGTGAAGAAGTTGCTGAGAGCCTGCAATGTTACCAGCCATTGTTCTCAACTCTGTAAAGGATTACAGAGGAAGTTAAACATGGCCTTTGCCTTGAAGAGCTTCATGGTCTAATGATGAAAACGGACCAGAGGTAGATGATGAAGATGACGCTTTGCCAGAAGCTACCAATGCAGAGTAAGACTTCTCCCTGCTGTGAGCAAGGCCAAGCCTCAGGAAGGAGACAGCTGAAGCCCCTCCTGAAATCTGACCATGGGGGTTGAGCAGCAAGCCAGATGGCATTGACCTTGGAGAGAACAGCGCATTCAAAGGCACAGAAACCTGGGCCTGAGTTTTGTGTGGCGAGAGCACAGGCGCATAGCAGAGAGAGCAGGGGTGGGCTGCCGAGATAGAGAGGAGGCAGGTGGTCTGGGACTTTAGGGAGGTTGGGAATGGGACTTCATTTAGAGTATAAGAGAGAGCGTCCGCGAGGTAGGGCACTCTTCTTTGAAAGCTCGCTTTGGGCGACCCTTTGGGAGACGGGTGGGAGTGAATCCGACTGAAGTCTTAGCTGGACTGGATTCATTTTCTCCTAATTTTGATTTCATTTTTAAGTATAGATTTAACTGGAAGGTGTGGCTGTGACGAGCTATCTTTCCACCTTTTTCTTAGTTATTTTTTTGAATTTAATTAATTTATTTTTTACTTAAAAGGTTTTGTTAGGTAGCTAGATTTAGGGACAGAGGGGTTGTCCCACCCATACCTGCAAAGGCCCCAGTGGAAGCGGTTGGAAAGAAAACAGGCAATCAGTCCCCAAACTGAGCATGCACAGACACAACCCCCCCCACCCCACCCCCCATAGACCCAGATAAAACCAATACCTTGGACACACCCACCTTAGGGACATCACACAGGAGGAGGGCCTAACTCAGCCAAAGGAGACAACCAATACCAGCAGCCACACATCCCCAGCCAGAGGTTTGAAATATCCTGGCTGTGGGAAGGCCTCGCTCTCTACCCTGCTCTTCGTCAGAGACAGGGGGAGGGGAAGGGTCTCCCTCCTCTGTGGGCACACATGCACCTAATCAGGGCCCATAGCCTCTTGGTCCACATGCTTTTAGCCTCCAGGGTTCTTGGGCTTCTGGCTTCCCGGGATACCCCACCACCAAGTTCCACATGTGTGGGTGCTCTTTTCCATGTGGTGGTTCGTGCCCAGTTGTAGACCCCAGCAAAGCTTCCACACAGCTTTGCACACTTCCTAGAAATAGCGGGTACCCTTTTGGGACTGTAACCCCTGGAACTTGTCCTGTCCTTCATAATAAAAAGAGCACACAACCTGCTTCACGTGAATCCTTTCAGCGTGGGAAGCAAAGAAGGAGGCCAAGCCACTCCAGAAACCTAACAGTTTTATGGAGCTATCATTAGCTTAACAATTCACTCGTTAAATCCTATCAGAAAAGGTTGTTCAATCATCACATGGAGAACCTGTTCTTCCTTTTTGCATCCCTTGGTGTTGACTCCCATTT